TCCAATGACAGAGCCAGCATCCTGGTGCCCAGGACCAATGTCATCTTATTTTAGGCAAATGATAAATTGACAAATTTATTTGGGTCACAGCCAGGGCACGGCACATTCATCATCATTTGCAGGAGATTTTCCATCCATCGGGCCACAGGGAAAATTGAAAATTTTCCATTTTTACATCCAGCATTGTTTTCGGGGTATCCTCGATTTCCAAGGATGTTTGGGACACAGAGCAGGAGGTGAGGAGAGTGCCAGGTGGGACGCCCCCTGCAAGGCGATGGCTGTTCCCTTGCACACAAAAATTGTATAGGGTTTTAATAGGTACCACCGTAGTCGTATGACCTGCTGTCTACCTATAATGGAGTGGCCTCTCTGGCCAACTGACGGGCACTTTTGGCCAAATTCTAATGCAGTTATAATGAGCTTTAAGCCAATTGGAATCATGGCTGGTCCATGATTTGGGTTGATATCTCGAAATGTGCCTTGAGGTCTTCTCGAGACATTTGCATAATTAAAATTGATGTTCCTCCGCCCTCTCGAAGGTATTTCCAGCCATTGTTTATTTAGAAACCGTGCAAGTAGTTTGCGCCACACACTGAGGCAAATATACTCCTTGAGGACTTACCTGGCGATAGCTCCTCGGTCATGGCACGTATCTGTCGCGTGGAGAGCGCCAGCAGGAGGCAGGCGCCCAGCAGCAGGCATTCTGCAACCATTTCGATCGTGGACTATTGGCAGTAGAATTGGCAGTAGATACGCCTCCCTCTTGAAGAGCAGTCTGAAATGAAACATAATATGATATTAATAATGTATCCAATGTTTTATTAGGCTCTAAGTCTCCAGCGTGCTACGGGGATATATTGTCCGCAATTTGCCAGCGAAATCATTAAGATTTTGCAGCCATCGAGGGCCGGGTGGGTCTCCGGCTCTGACGCCCATTATTCACTGGGGCGGGGCGGGGCGGGAGCGCCGCAAAGTATGCAACGTCATGCGGTATGCTGAAGGATCTCCACTGGCGTGGCGTGGGCGAGGGCGAGGGCGAGAGAGAGAGTGCTCCGATGGCTGATGGGGGAGGCTGTGGGTGGCGGAGCCCTGAGCCACACGTCAAACACATTCATCACGAGTGCCATAGTGCCAGAGTGACAGATGGTAAATGCGCGCGGGCCTACAGCCTCGTTTGTTCATGGCCTCTGGCCTACAGCCAGCCACCCAGCCAGCCAGGCAGGCAGTCCTGTCCTGGTCTCTGGTCCAAAAAGAACAAATGGAAATTTTTCCAATTATTGCAGACAGCAGCAGCGGCAGCAGCAGAAGGACGCCAAAAAGGAACATTCAACGCTTTAAAGTGTGACAATTCTCATATTTCATACATGTGCCCAGGTCTCAATGCCGCCTGCCACATGCCACATGCCGCATGCCTCCAGATTCTGATTTATCAATAACTAATTGCAGAATTTTGAGTGACGCCTCGCTCAAGCGTCGCCCGTCGCCCGTCGCCAGTTGATCAAAAACCCATTCTGTCAGCATCACATGGCCACGAATCCAATATAAAGCGCCCGATGCACGGGACTACATCCGAAAGTAGTAGCGTAAAGTGTGTGTGGAGCGTAGGGCTGGTCACATCTGCGGCTGACATGATTTTGGCATTAAAACGAAAGTCATATTTCGGGCGGAGCGCCTTTTTCCTCGTCTTTTCGATTATTTTTTGATAAATTTTACTTTTATTTTGGACTGACGGCCAGCTGTTGAATAATTACCTACACAGGCGGTACATAGAGCGGGGGTACAGTGCGCGGCATAGCCATAAGACGGGTTTTGGGGAAGGATAATGTTTGTACAGGAATTTCAGGAATTTTCAGCGAAAACTAATCGGAAATCATCATTGGAATATGTTTTAATCATTTATGGAACTTGTTTCGGAAGTTATTTAACTCCGATTTTTTTGTTGCTGAATTATCGTTATTTTTATCGGTTTTTTTCGTTTTTTATCGTTTATTGAAGTACAAAAGATAACCATAAATGGAATAATCGTTTAAATGGTGAATTTGAAGAGTTATCGATAAATAGCAAACCTATCGGAAGGAAAACCGGATCCCAAGGCGTGAAATATGTAATTGATAATACAAGCTATATCTGAAATTATGTAATTCCAATTTTTTGTTGCTGATTTGTCGTAATTTTTATCGTTATCGAAGAAGTTATCGTCTCATATGTGAAGATATTGAAGGAGAAAAGATAACCATGAATGCAATAATCGTTTAAAGTGTACATTTGATAAGTTATCGATAAATAACAAACATATCGAAAAGAAAAGCGCTTTCCAAGGCGTGAAATATCTGATAGATACTCGTTTATTATAGCTATATCTAAAATTATGTAATTCCGATTTAGTTGTGGCTGATTTATCGTTATCGGAGGAGTAATTGGAGACGGTATCGTCTTAAATTGAAGATATTGAAGTACAAAAGATAACCATAAATGCAATAATCGTTTAAAGGTTGAATTTGATAAGTTATCGATAAATAGCAAACCTATCGGAAGGAAAACCTCATCCCAAGGCGTGAAATATGTGATGGATATTTGCATATTTCACGCATTTGCATGCCTATTGCCCTTCCCCTTCAGCATGTACATACACACACGAAACGCACTGTAGCACTGGTGGCCATATGGCAGCATATGACCCAAGACGCGGGGCTCCCATCAACACTTTCAATTTCAAAAGGAAACTTTTGGGATCCACGCCGCAAGCCCTGAAAGGGGTTAGGGGGCGTGTGTGGGCGGTGGGCGGTGGGAGGTGGGTGGAGGGTGCCTGTTAACCGCGCGGGTATTTACACTAAGTCTAATGAAATGTTTAACAAGCACTTTGCTCTGCGCAAATCCCAATGACCCATAATATTAGCATAAAATCACTTGGCAAAGCCAAAAAGGGAGTAGAACCTAACCCCCTACCCCAGGCCCCCTCTCATTCCCCCCATAAATAAGTAGTTCTCGGTGTGTGCTGTGTGGCACGGAGCTACTTGCTAGTCCGCTTGTGTGGCATGACTGGGCCTCGGAGCGGGAAAATTTTCATTTAAATTGCACACTTTAAAAGTTGCTCCTCCAAAAGGGGGAGCCAAGCCCTTTGCCTGGCCTATGCCCATGCCCAATACATATATATATATATATTTCTATGCTCTGCCATTACGCTGCAAATAAATTTTGATGTTGGTCCAATGTTTTATTTGTTTCTGGCGCAACCGAAAATAAATTACATTAAAATTCTAAGCCATCAACCGGCGAACGGCAGCAGCAGCCTGGAAATTTATTTTTCCGCATTATCCGCAGCAGGATGGTAGGGTTTCCATCTGGCTTCTATCCGCCGGGAAAGTTGGACCTCAATTAGTAGATTTTATTTTCGGTCTCGGGGAATTTCGATGAGTTGCACTACGTTTTTTCCCCCCATTAAGCGAAGCGAAATATGTGTAATTTATGGGATAGTTTCACGAGCTTAGAACTCTAATTGGTTTTAACAAGGTTCGGACTTGTTTCGGGGCAAGGAGAGTGCCATAGTCGAAAAAGTCAGATGGCTGCTGGATCACTATTTCATCGGACAATTGAGCATATATTCAGCTAGTGTTCTGTGTTCTATGCGAATAAGTCTATCCTATGAATATGGAGTAGCCTTAAGTATCTAGCAGATTGGTGGCATTCTAGCAGCTTCTAAAATTCCATTTGGATTTGCTTTTCCTTTCCCTAAAAGGTTATGTTTTGTTCTATAACATATGTCCCTTAACTCTACATCTTTTATGCCTTAGTTTCTCCCTCCTCCTTCATCACATGCCACATTCTGCACAGGTATTCCTTTGACGCTGCTTTCGCCTTAGGATCTCAAACACAGAGTCACATGTTTGTATACACACACAGACTCGCACACACACACACACTCATAGCTACAATCACACCCACATATCCTGCATTTAAAGCCACAGAAATCCCCCACGAATCGAAAACTTACCGACTACTCAATGGGTTTTAGGCCTCAGATGAAGTTTTTGTTCAATTAACGATTGTATTTTAAGTTTTTGGCGTTGGGGAAAAAATGTAAACACAGATATTGACAAACACAGGGGTTACACCACACTCACACACACTCACACACACGCGCACTCGTCGCAGGACTACGCTGCGGAATTACTGGGCGTTGAACCACTCAAAAGCATTGCTGCGAACATGTTCTCCTTTCTGTGGCTAATTGTTTTAATAACACTTGAGTTTTAAGCCAATTAATGCTGCGAAAAAACAAAAATACACCAAAAATGTACAGATGCACAAAAAACTCACTGACAGGACGACAGGCGCGCTCTCTCTCTCGCCGCAGTGTTCCGTTTCATACGATTGCGCTCTCTCCCGGCGTTCCGTTACCACTGCGTTCCTATGGGAGCTGTCAAAGTGACAGCTGAAGCGTTGCCAGAGCGCAGAAGCAGGCACAAAAGAGGACTCTGTTGCGTTTCGTTTCCATTTCGGTTTTCAAGGGTTGCTCGCTCACCCTCCCTCCCTCCGTTTCAGTGCTGGGAGAGCGAGAGCGAGAGAGTGAGAGAGCAAAAACGACAATTACCTGGAGAATTGGCATTAGCCCATTTTCGTTTCGTTATAAATTGCGTTTGTCACTTGGCAGTCACCCTGGGTGTGGGGGTGGGGGGGTGCAGGAGAGCCCCGTTCGATTCCAAGGATCCCTAACCCAGCAATTACATTTTACTTTCGTGCGTCTGGTGGCATGGAATTAATTTTCGATTTTATTGTCAGTTTGATGATGATGCTGCTCCTTGGTCCTTGCTCCTTGGTCCTTGAAGCTCTGATTTAATTGAAAATGCATGAATATGCAATTTTCACTGGCTGTAAATCGAACTTTTTCCCCTGGGTCACACAGTTGGCCCTACATTTTGCCCCCCTGAACCCTATTCGATCATTCGATTCAAAAAGTATCACACATCAGATATATATTTATATCCCAAACAAAATATATATATTTTTTTATCAGAGAGATGGTTTTTTGGAAGAAGATAACCAGCTGTATTACGAAGGGCGCCGGGGGGCAGCAGAACGGCGGTGGCAGTGGCCCGACCAGGGCACCCAAGCAGCAGCTGATGAACATGGCGGACATGCTGCAGCGTGTGCCGCCCAACCAGCTGCCACAGTTCCAGATGTTCAAGAGGCGCAACGAAGAGTACAGAAGGTGAGCTACAGACACAGCGATAGGTGGCCATCCTTGTGTAACCCCCAATCCCCGAAAGGCGCGTCAACAAGTATCCCGACTCCATGCCGAAAATCGACTGGGAGTACTATCGGAAGAATGTGCGGCCAGAGTTCGTAAGTTGGGTGAGCCAGTTCGAGCAGAAGTACGACAAGCTGGACACCCTGTTCGTGAATCGGCACGTGATGATCAGCAGCCGGCGGTACTTCGAGGAGGTCAACAAGGAGGCGGAGGAGATGCAGCGGGAGATCTGCGAGTACAAGGAGGAGTCGGACAAGCGCATCGGCGAGCTCAACAAGCAGCTGGACGTCCTCAAGGCCATGATGCCGTACGAGGACATGACCATGGAGGAGTTCTGCCAGCAGCGGCCCCACTTGGCCCCCGATTTCATCAACAAGCCCACGTTCTGGCCGCACACACCCGAGGAGCAGACGCCGGGACCCTCGGACCCGACGGCCGTGCATCCGGAAGAGCCAGAAGAGCCGCCAAAGGCACCGCCTAAGCCGCCTGCTGCTGCACCACCGCCCACTGCTGCTGCCAAGCCCGAGGGCGCTACACCGGAGGCCAAGAAACCTACAGAAATAAGTGCATCCCCCAAGAAGGAAGAAACCTCCAAGGCCGTTGAGGAAATTACAGAGAAAGCCGCCGAGACGGCCAAAGAGTTGGCCATAAAGGTGCAGCAGCTACTCACGATCGCCGTGGCAAAGATCTCACAGATGGTGAATCAGGTTCACGAGGCGGCAGCGGCCGCCAGAGCCGCCAAGACGGCCAAGCCGAAGCCACAAGAAGCTGCCGAGACGCCAAAAGGATCCGCACTGGCCAAGCCCAGGCCCAAGGCGAAGGAGGTCGCAGAGGAGGACGACGATCACTACCATCGGAGGGAGCACTCGCCTAACATTTGCACACAGACCATCATCCGGGGCGAGGAAGCCGAGCAGAATCCCGAGGTGAAGGCCAAGCATGTGAATCTCAGCATCGAAGGGGACGAAGAGGAGGACGATTGGCCCGAGGATAAGCGCAAGAAGTGCGAGGCTTTGGAATGCAAGCGCAAGTCCAAGGGGCGGCAGGAGGACGCCCACGAGGACGAGGACGAGGACATTCCATGCAAGGAGCAGAAAAAAGAAGAGGCTTCCTGTCGGCAGCGCGAGAAAGAGGAATCCCTGGAGAAGGACTGCGAGGAGCGCCAGAAATGCGAGGTCGAGGAATCGGAGCGCGAATGTGAAACAGAATCAAAGGCAAAGAAACAGGAAAAGATACAATTCGAAGATGCAGCCAAGGCCGATTTCGCCGTTTCGATTTCCACCTGTGAGCCGGTTCAGAAAACCAGCAAAACCGACAAAAAGGGGACAAAGGATCCGTGCAAACCGCAGGAGAAGGCCTCCCTAAGCCCATTGCCAGAAGGGGCCAGCTCTCGGCTAAAGATGGGCCTGAAGGACATGGAGATATTCAGCCCCGATCAGAGTCCAAAGGAGGCGCCGCAGATTGGAGATGCCAACGAGGCAGATGCCCCTGCAGCTCCCCAACGACTAAAGGACTCTACAATCACTTATCCCCGCCTGGAGATAGTGCCAAAATCAAAGAAAACCCAGCCCAAACCCCAGGCAGCAGAGGTCGAGAAGGTAACCTCAGACGATGCGGCCAAACGGGTGTTCGACATGGCCACGGATGCCGCCTCGTTGCTCAGCGATGCCACCATTTCCGAGGAGGAGGCCGAGAAGCTCAAGTGCCACCGCATCGAGACCCTGGAGGCCGCCTACCGCTCCGCCCACAAGCAGGCGAATCGCGCCCTGGTCGAGGCCTTCAAGGCCGTGGACGCGGCCAGGAAGTTGGCCAAGAGATCGCGCAACTCCAGCGAATCGCAGTTCCGCGATCACAACGCCCAGGCCATGGCCGAGAAGCACGCCCTGCTGGCCAAGTTGCTGGCCAAACGTGCGGTGGCCTTGAAGCAGGAAATCGCCAAGGTCCTCGAGAAACTGAAGAACAAAGACTGATCCAGTCTATTCCCCAATTTATACCATGTTTTGTTTTTCGATGTTTAGTTCTTATTAAATTTTCTGCAGCATTTCCCTTTCGTTTCGTTTCGTTTCGCTTTGTTCATCAAATGCTAATTTTCCCCAACATTTTGCTTCATACGCGATGCGATACTCTCTTTCTGGGTTGCTGCTGAAAACTTTTCTATTTCGAATTAGCCAACAAAATGTGCTCCTGCGTGTGTGTGTGCGTCTGTGCGTGTGTGGCATTCGTAGATTGCATAATTATGCAAATTTTTGTTGCTTTTTATACCCTCTAGTTGTGGCAGGGGGGGGGTATACTGGTTTTCAGGGTTCGAGGGTGTTTCGGCGAAACACGAAAAATTGTGTAGGAGAAAGAATCGCCCATCTATAAAAATATATATTAAAAATTCGATTTTTAATTTTTTAAATCTAAATTTTGTAATTAAATAAAATGTAAATCTGAAAAAAGTACAATAATATTAGCGACATATATATTTGTAATTAACGAAGGACTAGTTTAATCAAGGAAAAGTTTTATAGGAAAAAAACGCACCTATATAAAAAAATATGTATATTAAAAATTCGCTTTTTTAATTTTTAAAATATTTAAATTTACATTTTTTAATGAAATAAAATGTAAATCTGAAAGGTACAATAATATCAGCGCCATACATATATTTCTAAATAACAAAGGACTGTTTAATCAAAGAACAATTTTATAGGAAAAAGAATCGCCCATATATAAAAATATATATTAAAAATTCAGTTTTTAAATACAAAGTGATATTAATTAGATTTAATGGAAAACTGCACTTTCTGGGGAAATTCAGTACTAATGGCGGTTATGAATCAGGGACCGTAATCCTTATAAGTTATATAAAGATTAACATTGAAGAAAAACGTTAAAAATTCGAAAATTGAAAAATCATGGCGGCAAAAATTAAGATTTTCATGTAAATTCTATTTTTCTACCCTAGAAAACCAGGACAGATAAATGAACCAAATAATATCCTCATCCAATTTCTTCGACACCCATTTTTTTATTTTTTATAAATTAGTCAAATTCATTTCTGTGACTGCTGCACTAACAGTAACAGAGATAAAATTTTATAATCAAAAATATAAAATACAATCCTAATTATAATAAAATAATAATCTTACAAAAAAGTCCATTAAGTTTTTTTTTTTCCAAAATAAAATAATTATCATTATTTACGGTGCCTGATTCTAATTAATTTAAGTATGAAACCCATTAATAAATTACCTTTGTAGAAAATATATTTAATCTAAATAGGTAAATAAAATATTATATTATTATATTATATTATATTATATTATATTATATTATATTATATTATATTATATTATATTTATATTTTATGAAATATTTTTAGAACAAATATTTGTTAAAAAGTACGTGAAAACACTTTCTCCTTATAATTATCGGTGCACATTTTTCAATCGAAGTGTAAATAATATTCCCATTGGGGCTACTCTTTCCCAGGACTTGCCTGCCCCAAGCAGAGGGTAAGCGGCAGTCGGGACCCTCAAAAATGCACACCTAAAGCGTTTCTCTGTTTTGGTCTTTGGATTTTAAAAGTAGCCATCCGAAGAGTGCTGCCTGCTTTTCGCAATCAAACACAAAACATTTGCATAATTAGTGTGTGCGTATGCGTATGTGTGTGTTCGTGTGTGTGTGTGTGTGTGCGTGTGCTTTTTTGGGTGCGTGCCTAATTCCCGTTTGATAGTTTCCCATAAGCTTTGGGCCTTAAAACATTCCTTTTGTTCACCGAATATTGAAAATCCCCGCTACTGCACATTAGCGGGGCACATTGTAAATATTTCCCCTAAAATCCGGCTCTTATTTATGTGTACGCATTTATATATATTTGTAAACTCTAGCAGCCGTATAAATTCAATTTGAAAGCCTCGCAGCGTCCTTTTGTCCTGGTCCCGGTCCCAGGCCGTGGCCCTGGCCCTTTTGTGGAGCCCCTTCATTGTGTGGAGAACACAGACCAAACATCTTATCGCTTAATCGATTACGCAGGTGACAAAAGCATTTTGTTAAAACGCACCGTGCCAAGGGTCTAATGTATCCTTTGGGGGACCTTTTGCCCAGCGGAATTTGCATATTTATTTGGAATATTTGAAACTGATTTCGGGCCCCTCGGACGCGGAGTCGATTAAGCCTGAAAGGATTATTCATGAGCTACAAAGTGCTGGCTTTAAGCCCCGAAATCCCGAATTGGCCATTTGGCAGCAGTCTGCTTTTCCGCTTCAAATTTTCTTTGATAGTTTTCATGTGCTCCTCCCTTCTGGCTCCTCCCGTTGCGGAAATATAAAATATTGCGCTTATGTTTATTGTTTTCTCCCCCCCCCCCCCCCATACCCCTCCAAGATAGAGATACAGATACTGTCGCTGGCAATAGATTCTTTTTGGCAAGTGCCCGCCCTGGCATTGACCCAAACATAATTAAAATGTCCCCCCGCCGCGCCGCTGAAAACTCAAAGCAAATACGACTTTTCTTTGGTTGTTTTTTATGGCCATGTGTGGGTCTGGCTTTATCGGCTTTGGCTTGGCTTTTAATAGCCAGCCCAACGGCCAGGAGTCGGCCTAATTAGCGGCATTTAACGAAGCCTCGTGTTCGGGGCCGACGTGATCATCCTAGAAGGACCTCCAGGGCACACCGCGGACAGTGAAAATGTAAATTTTCACAGCATGGAAGCAACAGCGCGAGTGGGAGCCCCAGAGCTTGATTACTCGAGTCCCGGGAAGTCCCTGGCTCCAGAGCTCCTCCATTTGCCTGGTCTCGGCGCGTGTCCCCACAAACACAAACACGAGACACACACACACACACACACACACACTTAACGACGTAGTTAGCGTTAGTTAACGTATGTACGTGATATCGTTAAGTTTCGGTATAACGTTACCCATAGACCACGCGGCGCCCTGCGGCATAATAAGTGTCTTATTAGTTATGCCAAAGGAGGAGCCAAAGGAGGAGTCCCCCTCCCCTGGACACACACACGCGCATTCGGTGGAGACACTTTGCACGCAAAATCCAATGCTCGTTCTCCTAGGATTCGGATTCGGATTCGGATACGGATACGGATTCAGGCTTTGTTATTCCTTCCAGTGGCCGCAAAATTCTGTTTGCTTAGGAGATGGCTCTCTCCTCTGTGCCAACTGTTGCCTTGAATTTCAATTTGGGTTTTTTGCTGGGGTCCCCTGTACGACGCCGCCATGCCTCTCCTCATATCCCCTCATTTGTTGTGGAGCATTCGCTTCAATTATCAAACCTCTGCTGCCACTCGTACTACCGCCAATTATTGCCCATCGATGGGCACAGACACTGAGGGGCATCTTCTAGCTACACGTAGAATTTCAGGCAATGAAAAGTCTATCGTTATCGTTATCGTTGCTTTTCTTTGACAATCTAAATTCTGTAGATTTTTTCCCTTAGAAATTGCTTGAAATTCAGGGCTTTCTCGCCATAAACCAACACTGGAAAACGCCTCGTTTCTTTGCTCAACCTTCGGCGGAAAAGGCAACGTTTAAGAAAAGCAAAAGCAGAGTTTCCCTCGAAAGCAGGTCCTAAAATAACAAACAAACTGAAAATCTATTTCCACAGTTGGAAAGAAGATAAAATTAACGGCCGTCTGTCGGAAGAGCGAAATGAAAATTAAATTCCAAACAGCCGTTGGGCCTTTCGCTGGACAGGCTTTTGGGGCGGTGGAGGGTTGGTGCGGGGTGGGGGGTGGCGGGGTGGGTTTGCTGTCCAGGTAATCGGCAACGTGTAGTATTTACTTTTAGCGCTGCTTGTTTATTTTTTAATTTCCTTCCAATTAAGCAACAAACAAGAGAAAGCGAAACTGAGACTCGAGAGTCGAAGGCAGGGACTCGAAGGCAGGGACTCGAAGGCAGGGACTGTTGAGGCTGTGGGGCGGGGGGCGAAAACACGAAACACATAAAACAGAAAACAGAAAAGAAAATTAAATCAATTCGCTGAAACCCAAAAACATTCTGGAAAATTCATTAAAAAGCGGTCGCTTTTACTTCGTTTTTCTGGGATTTTTATTTGCGGCTGCCACTGGCGATGGAAGATATAGTAAACCGATTATATCTGGAGAATAAGGCGAGGATTTTTGGCATACAAAACAGCCAGAAAAATCCCTTGTCACGTGCACATCACTAGCTCTTTTGAGGACTCAACGGTGTCCTTGGGCAGAAGGCCATTACCTATGCAAAACATGTGCGCATAAATAAAGAATGTGCCTCAACAAACGCACGATGTGGCACGTATACTGGCGGCTTGTGGCCTTATTTGCTTGCAGCAATTAGCAACTGTACCGAAATTCCTTCTAGAGGCATTAATTAGGCCTCGGGACGAGCACTTAGAGGACTATAAACTCGTATATTCTTGAAGGAGACCAAGAACTAACAGGTAATTTCAGGGAATAGGTGTCGTTTGGGGTAAAACGGGGGGGTCCTTCATCAGGCAGAAGGACAGTCGCAGGCCAATTGGTACAGGAACTGGATGAGAGTGCGTGTGGGCCGGCCGCTCATGCGATTCTTGAGGAGGTACGGGGGCACCCCGTCCTTGGCCAGCATACCCGTGCCGTGGGTGTCGAGATGCACCCAGTCGCTGCATGGCACCATCTCGTGGAGGACGGCGGCCGCCAGGCAGGACGATGCCGGTCCCCGGCCCTTGTTGCACATGTCGACGGTGCCGAATTTCGTGACCAGATCCTTGAAGTACTGCCACAGGGGGAGGCGCCACAGACGGTCGCCCGTGTAGCCGCCGGCCTTCTGGAATTGCTTCCACAGAAACGAGTTGTTGGTCCACACTCCGGTGGCAGAGCCACCCAGTCCGCTGGTCACGCCCCGCGCCACCGCTCCGGCATCGACGACGAGCCGCGGCTTGAACGCCGCCTGGCCGTAGAGCAGGGGATCGGCCAGCATCACGGTCCCGGCGACATCGGGGTCCATGACGCGCATCGTGCGGCCGTTGAGCAGAGTGACCACATCGCCCGGTCGCACGGCCATGCCCGAGGGCAGATTCTCGCAGAGCGGCAGCACCGCCGACAGGTTGATGGGCAGCGACAGGGCGGAGGCGGCCCGCATGGTGGCCACCACCAGGGCGGCGCCGGACACGCCGCCGCGGTACTCGTCCATGCCCGTCTTGGGCTTCAGGCAGAGGCCGCCGCTGTGGAAGGTCAGGCCCTTGCCGACCAGCAGCACGGGCTTGTCCTCGGGCGCGGTGCCACAGTAGCTGATCTCCAGGAGGAGCGGCGGCTCGCAGGAGCCCTTGGCGATGGTCAGGAAGGAGCCGAGGTTCTTTTCCTCGATCCAGTTAATGGAGCGCACCTCCACGGTCACGCCGCAGGGGCACAGGGCGTCGACGGTGGCCTGCGCGAAGATCGACGGCGTCATCTGGTTGGCCGGCGTGTCGCACAGGCGGCGCGCCAGGTTCTGCGACTCGGCCTTGAACAGGCCCCGCGTCCAGCCCTCCGTGTCCGAGGACTGGTACAGCTCCAGCTTCGGGATGTGGGTGCGATTGCGCTTGCGACGGTTGTTGTTGTACCGCCAGACGGCCAGGGCCGCGCCCTCGGCCGCCTGCTCCGCATAGCCCATGGCATCCACGTGGACCTCGCTGCAGCCCTGGAGCTGCAGGGCCCGGGCGCCGACGGCCGTGCACACGCGCACATTCTCCATGCCCTCGTCGATGACCTCCTCGTGGTTGTAGCCGGCCCCCTCTCTGCCCAGCCCCACCAACGCCAGGCAGTTGTACTCCTTGCCGACGTTGTGGTACAGTCGTCCCTTCCCCAGCTCCCCCTTGAGGCCCGACTCGCGCACCAGATCGGCCAGCATTCCGTGGCCCAGGCGATCGAACTCATCGCCGCCCTCCGTCAGCTTCGGCTTGCCGCTGTCCTGCTCGTAGAGGCCCACGACGACGCCCCGCATGTCCTCGCACTTGAAGCGCACCTGCTGGTAGCGCAAGCTCCAGGGCACGGCCCCCCGCAATCGGAGGACTCCCAGTGTCGAGCGACCCAACCCGGCGAACAATGGCAAGCGCGACATTCCGCGAATTTGGAAAACGTTGCGATTACGAATCGGAAAAATATTCTCTGTAAAAAATTATGGGAACACCAATTTGGACGTGTGTGTATGTTGTGTGCGAGTATCAAAGTTTGAACAGACAGCACTTTTGCTCCACTAACAGCAATTTCCAATGGACTACGATTGGAAGAAACAAACGGCAACTTGTGTTTCAGCATTCGTCTGAAATTTGGGCTGTCCTGCGCTGCCTAATGTGTTCTTCCATGCGTTGGGCAGCTGAGTTGGTCCTTTAGGGAGGGCCTGAAAGTGCAAGAACAAAGTATACAGTCTCTGTAGAGGCGGAAAAGTCGCTCTCAACAATACACGCTGCTTGCAAATCAAGGCTGGAGACAGAAACCAAAGCCTGGAGCCGATTTTCGATGCAAGTTTGGGTGAAAAAAACCCTTGTCATGCCCAAGATATGCACTTTGTTCAGGGAAGCAAATACTGCTATTTATTGTCGTTCATTTGTATTTCTTTAATATTTTTTATTTGCAGATTGCTTGCAAATCGATGCTGGAGACAGAGACTAAAGCCTGGAGCCGATTCATGCCCAAGACATGCATTTTGTTTAGGGACACAATTACTGCTATTTATTGTCGTTCATTTGTATTTTTTTAAATATTTTGTAATATTTTTTATTTACAGATTGCTTGCAAATCGATGCTGGAGACAGAGACCAAAGCCTGGAGCCGATTCATGCCCAAGACATGCATTTTGTTCAGGGACACAATTACTGCTATTTATTGTCGTTTATTTGTATTTTTATAAATATTTTTTACTTACAGATTGCTTGCAAATCGATGCTGGAGACAGAGACCAAAGCCTGGAGCCGATTTTCGGTGCAAGTTTGGGTGAAAATATCCCTTGTCATGCCCAAGACATGTATTTTGTTCAGGGAAGCAATTACTGCTATTTATTGTCGTTCATTTGTATTTTTTTAAATATTTTTTTTTACAGATTTAATTGGTTCATGGGCCTATTAGATCTGGCATGGGCCTATTCCCGGGTCCCTTTAATTCCATGGCCGCGCATTCCATAGTCCTCCCTATCGATGACACTTAGAGGCTTGCAATAGATTTCAATCGATAACCGATAACCGGCAACGATTGCATTGAAAATTGCTGGCAATTAAGGAATTTCCACAGGACACAAGTATGGCCGCACTTAAAACTTTGTGCCGTGATTAAATTTGCAATTATCGATTGCGGGGCAACAACAAGTGCACTTGCCACCATGTTGCATAATGAAAAAGTGAATTGCAGAGGGAATCTCGTGCAGGGGAGGAGGTGGGGTGGAGGAGTGGAGGAGCGGAGGAGTGTATAAAAATTGCAACCCAGCCGCAGACGAAACACGTAAAAGCAATAAAGCAATAAATTGCCCAATTTGAAGCACTATTGTAGCCAATAATTTGCACAGCCACTTGGCCACTTGGCCCCCGACTATGGGCCATGGCTGCATACAAGCCTGTTGGCCAGAATTCCATCCGCCAGCCTCCATCCGCCATCCGCCAACCGCCGCCCGCCACGCACCACACATATAATTTTCAACAAAAATATTCACATTTGTCAATGTCGCGTGATTGATGTGGTCGAACGCATTTCCGCCGTGCAGACAGGAGTCCCAGTGAGAGAGAGAGAGAGACGCGTAAAAAACAGCCAACACACAGATACAGATACAACACACATACACGGGCACAAGCGTGCAATAAGTAGGCGCCACACAACGTTTTTTGTGCGAAGGATGCCTGTATGCCCCAGAAGGATGTCGATGGGGTTCTGGTGTCCTGGCGACATTACGCGATTTTACGCATGATTTCAAATTAATGACAGCGACGCCTGGCAGCCACCACACCCCACCCCCCCTCCCCCTTCCAACCACACACCTTTAAGAGCAACCTTTAAAAATGCCCGCGCTTTTGCAGGATGTTTAATTTCCTAAATGCATAAATCTCTGCTAATACGCAACGAAACCTCGAAACAACAACAATAGCAGCGGAAAGCCTAAATCTAAGCGCTAGCCAACAGTTTTTCGATACCCTGGACCAGAGAGAAGACCCGGGCTTGTCTCCCTCTGCCATCTATAGAAAGCCTCGATCCAGCCCTTAGAATCCCCTGGAATATCACCATCCAAGCAACTGCGCGCTCCTCTAGGGTATGCAACATTTCGGTCAGAGCTCTGGTGTGCCTTCCACATCCGAAAATCATAAACAAACTTCAAACGACATTGTCCGTGCGGATGGGGGGGGCACAATGGGGCCAAAAAGGTAGGCAAAAAATGGTATTTGCAGCTTATTACGCACGGCTACCAATGGTCCTGGCAATGGGCCTGGAAATGTCCCGGGTAACCGCAGCAATTCAGCATCATATGTGGCCGGGCCGTCGTGCGGCAGCTCCTGGACCAAATGGCCTGTGTGGGCGGCCTATCTTTGGGCGCACACACACACACACAGCCACCCACAGACATCTAACGCTTTCGTTTCCATTTCCGTCTCGAAGGGCCGTTTCGTGGGGAAGGAGTGAAAGATCTAGCCCCGGAACATTGCCGATTGTACAGGCAAATATATAGCCGTCTTTCCAGAGGATTTTGTTAACATAAGCATTTATAGAAATAGAAAATGGAGTGGGAATTTCCCTTCTATCCACGATCCACGCCCTAGCAAGGGCTTGCCCCATGGCTAACAATCCCAAGCTGAAGGTCGTAGTGCACTCTAGGGGTACCATCCCCAGACTGGCCTTCACACGCGATCTTCTGCACAGATCACAGCCTCAAAGGCAAAGTCTGTCAGGCAGGTGTAGGTAAGTCCAGGCCCCATCCTGCCTCTGAAAACTGTTCAATGCCGCACACAGAACGGTGTAGTCTGGCCTGCCATAAAGATGGGTTATAGGACAGAGATTGTCATTTGTTGTACCACATTTAGGGCTCGCGCACACTGTAGCTGAAAGCGGAGCTGAAAGCGGAGCTGAAATCAAAGCTGAAAGCTCAGCTGATCTGAGAGCTTTTCTCAGGCAGAATCAGCTTGCAGGTGCGTACATTGTCGGCTGATCTGATTGCTGAAAGCTGAAAGCCCCTGCCTCCCTTTGCCCATCTACTTAAGTGGCATCAATAGATATCATTATAATTATTATTATTATATTGTTAATGAATTATTACTTCACAGCACGTACAGTAGCCAGACGGAAGTTCTCTTGGTTTTATTTTTAAATTACGTGTATTTTAACCATATTTCCGTTGAGTTTTTATTCGTATTACTTTTATTTTACGAATTATTATTACATTTTTACATTACATTGGTAATGGTAAATAATAAAACTTTTTTGCCCAATTTATCGCCTTCCAGAAATTATAGAAATAAAACTATTGTTCAAATATTTTTAATAGTCCCGCTTACCCCAGCGCTGGGTTAACCGTAATTTCGCTTAAAAATGTTTTGCAGCCCATTTTCGATCACTTATGAACCAATACACTTGAACAAAATCAGCAATCAGCTTGCTGAAAAAACAAACATGCTTGATCGATCAAACTAAGCTGAGCTGATTTCAGCGAGCTTTTTCAGCTTTCAGCTCAGCTCAGTCTGCAATGTGCGCACTTGCACCGGTGCAGTGTGTTTGTTTTTTTAGAGCTGAAAAATAAGCTATCAGCTCCGCTTTCAGCTCCGCTTTCAGCTCCGCTTTCAGCTACAGTGTGCGCGAGCCCTTACTCCGGATCTTAAGAAAACCCGACGAAATGGTCTTCAAATGGCCGGCAGTGCCCTGGTTTTCTGTGTCCTGGCATCTTATGCGCCCTGTCTCGCCTTTCTGTAGGCAGAATAAATGCGATACAAGCATATGTTATCTCTGTGTGAGTCCAATATTTAGTAAATGAATGAAACAATCAATGAAATGGCATTAGAAACTCAAGCGATAGGCGATGAGTGATCTCCGTCGCCTATAAATCTCTCATTTCTTTGCAGATATGCCAGCCATCCCACCCACAGTCCGAAGGTCAATGTGCAGCGAGTTTCTAGAAGTTGGAACCTTCCCTGCGAACCAATGAGGGGGCATGCTCCGGGCTTCATCGCGCGGCTATCGAAAGGAGACTCCAGCAATCTGCTTTTAAATGAACGATGATGAGGTCAAGAGGTCACTCTCTTGGAATTAGCTCTTATGCTATGCTCCATTTTCAGATTAATTTCTGTTTTGTGGCTGAAAACCCCAAAGCTAATGCTGCCCAGACGTTTGGGTAAAGAGTAAGCTCTTGTTTAAGGGATTTATTTTGCTCATTTGCTCATTACTTGTATATTTCTATGGATTTCTTTAGGACTGGGTCGCCTGCAGAACCCTTTGTATCAACGGCGTGTAGGCCAGGACATTCGTGAAGACACTCACGCCATTGCAGGGCTTCCTGCCGAAGCTCACGATCCCGAATTGAATGTAACGGGGCTGCCCATCGTACAGCACGGTGGCGCCCAGCGGGCCACCAGAGTCCCCGACGCAGGCATGTCTTCGGAAATCCCCGGCACAGATGTGCGTGTGATCGATGCGGTAGCCGTGCCGGGCGCAGGTGTATCGATCGATTTGGGTCAAGTTTACGGTCTGCAGCACGGAGGCCCGCTGTCCGCCCCACATCAGGCCCCATCCGGTGAGAGTGTACTCCCGAAGGCTGTCTATCCGTTGCTGCACTGTCGTGTCCAGCAGAATGCAGATGGGTCGGATGTTGGCTGAACAAAGAGAGAGGGGTTTCGGTATAGGGAACCAACTAGAGTTAAGGGGGACTCCCACCTGTGTAGGCCACACTCTGTTGCATTTTCAGGAGAGCAATATCGTAGTATTCCACCGACGTATAAAAGGCATGCCTGTAGACGTTTACGACGGCGTGATCCGTGGGCGGTGGGGCACACTCTCCCTGCCTGCAATCCTCCACCGTCCTGGTATCGTACTCCCCCAACCGCACGCCTCTGCAGGCGACAGAATGTTCAGAATGTATCTTGGCAGTGTCTCTGGGGAATACCTACATGGGTACAACCGAGTCCGGTTGAATGCAGTGCGCGGCGGTGAGCACGAAGCGGTGATTGATGAGCGATCCGCCGCATACGAATTGTCCATTTGCGTACAGGTGCGCCATCCACGGAGTGGTTCCCAGTGCTGCATCCTCGCCGCCGGCCACCATGGCCTGCATAACGCTCGCGACACCGCAGTCCTCTTCGAGGAGCTGTCCGTAGACGCTGCCACATCCTCCAAGGAGCAGCCAAGCCACCAGCGATACCAGAGCCATCATCGCCGCGTTCTTCAGCCTCGAAGCAAACAAAAGTTAATGCTGGATGCCTCCAGCCTCTGTTCTCCTCAATGGTTTTTTTTGCACCAGAGATTTGCTTATATTTGAACTGAAAAACCCGAGATTAAGTTTTAAGATGGGCCACGAAATTTAATCGAATGTTTTGTGGGTCAGGGGAGGTCACAGCCCCCAAGATAGGGGCCTGCCTCTTTGGGGGTGAGTCAGGCATTCTCTGGCGACTCGTAAATTACTTCAGACTCCATAAATCACGCAATAGAATTCTAATTTTTGGGGCCAGACACCAGAGCATGTGGGAGATGGAATCAATCATTGTTTTTAATGCACAAATGGGGAGCAATTACAGTCAGCTTTTGGGGCCAGACAAAAGAATGTATCACTTGATTTATACCCGTTGCCCCTTGCGGAATACTGGGAACAGCAGCTAGACTGTTCCCAACGCATTGGTGAAAGCAAAAGTAATAGTTTTCGATCATTCGGCCATCAATTAGCACCTGCCCTGCTTTCCGCCCGCACTGAAAGCCAGACGCGGCACTGTATAAAAGCCTCAGGCGGCCAGAGACGGCTTCAAAGTCAATCTTCAAGTACCCGACAATGGCTTGCCTTGGCCACGCTCCGATAGCTGTATTTTTGCTGGCTGTAGTCTTCAGTTGCGCCCCGACTTTGGCGGATTTACGCGGAGATCTGAGGGATTTCGTGGCGATTGCGCCGCGTCGACGCATCGGCTACATAGCCGCCAGATACTATATCTTCGATCCGAGATTCCGCCAGGCAGTGGGTTTTGTGCGCAGCGACGAGTTCCTGGAGACCTGGCAGTCGGTGCGTGCCGCGCCCGATGTGGCAGCCCTCATCGATTACCTCAACGAGTACGGATCGGGCTACGATGTGACCAGCCTCGTGGACAGCCTCCCCCAGCGACTGCGGGCCTATCAGCTGTCGCGCACTGTGCCCGTAGAGATGATGCTACACCGCGATCTTACCACATTCCTACGCGAAGCGGTCCAAACCCTGCCGCGGGCCAAGGTCTATGCCCTGATGTCGCAGAAGGTGCGGCAGGGCGGGGACTTTGCCAAGTTCTACAAGGCCCTGAGGGACAAGCAGTTCAAGATTCTGGTGGACAGAGCAAGGGTATGACTTCAGAAAGGTGTTTCCTTCGAAGACCAACGAAAGACTAAATTCTTTGCATTTCAGAATTCAGCGGACCTGCAAGCGCCACTGAAAAAACTGCACGAAAAGCACATCAATGTCGATGAGATACTTCAAATATTGTTCGAAATCATCAACTGGGGGCCGCAGAATCTATAGATCTAATCGAAATGTATTTTAATTATAGTTTTTCTTTGTAGTTTTGAGTGTTTTTCCACTGGGTATTGGATCCAGGAGGTATACGTCGAAGCTGGATGGTTGAGGATGGTCTGAAGGGCTGAAAGAGTGGACAGCCTTCTCAGAGTACTCCCCTAGTTTTCTTTCAACAGAAAAGAAGACAAGAACCTGGAAATACTCGGAGGAATACCCAGAAAAGAACAGTCAATGTTTTGGGATCAAAAGGTTATCGTTTTTCCAACTAAAAATACTTGATTTGTGGAATACTATTATCTTTCATGGAAGCGTGGCATTGCTCGAACCTTTGACCGAGTGGTCGAGAGATACTCTGGGATTTATCCGCCGCCCCACTTGCGTTGGATTCCCCCCTCCAAAGCCCTACCATCCTTAGGTTTTACCTATAGAGCGTGCCGTGCCGCTACAATGTGGAAAATCAGCAAGAGGGCAAATTCCTCTATGGCAACACGCACAATATGCACTCATTAGTGCGGCATGGAGTGGTGGTGCAGTGGCAAGTGTGCGGGGGGTGAAGACGCAAAATCCTCATTGATTTGGATCTCCCTCTGTCCCATTGAGGAGAAGATGGGCGAGGACTCTCCCTCTCTCTCGCTGTGGCGCCTGAAAAGTCACTCTGTCTCCGTGTTAAATGCCAGCCATGGAGGCGGCCACATGCGGCATGCAACATGAATGATTTTATTCAGTGCTCTGCAGTTCTGCATCTCTGGAGCTCTGCAGCTCTGGAGCTCTCTGTAGCATAATTTGTCGACATCGACATAGTTTTTATGGCTGGCAGTGGCGCTTGCCGCCGGTTTATTTGCCACAAAATGCGGCCATATAAGCGTTGCCAAGTTTATTTTGGAAAGAAGCAAATTGCTGTCACTGTCACTGTTGCTGAATGTGCAACAAAAGTAGTTGCACTTGCAACGCCCACATAGAGACGGAGTCAAGCCAAGCCGATCCGTGCCCCACCCACATCATTTTGGTGCAATTTTTTGGCTGGCGCTGATGCCGCAGAGGCAACGGCAGAGGCGGCGAATGGGAACACGTTGCCTCAGCTGGTGGCATGCAACTGTTTGCTGTTTCTCCATTTTGCTTGACATTAATTTTATGGCATGTTTTTGTTGCTGTTGTCGCTGCCGCTGGCGCTGCCGCGCGCTTAAATTGTCGCATTTGTCTTGCCGCTGACTGGGGCTCCTGCTGCTGCTGCTGCTGCTGCAGCGTGTGGCATAAAGTTTTGTGTAATCCTTTCAATTTGTTGCATACTTTTAGGCGGAAATTAAAATAACAAGCGCAACGTGGTGGCTGGCTTCCTTTCTGCTTTCTGCTTCGCCTGGTTTTAGTTTTTGGCTCCACGAAGTTGTGTCGTACACGTGTTCTACATCCATGCCACACACACACACACACACACACACACACACACACACAGAGCGTGTGGCAGTGCAACAGAGTTCATCAATTAGTAACTTAGACAATGTTGCTCAGGTTTCGTGTTTCGGGGTCTTTTCTTTAGATTTCAGATTTCTCCCACTCCTGCTCCCACGCCTGCTCCCACTCCTGCTCCTCCTTACGGCTGGTAAGGACTCATACTGCTGGCAATTTATGCTACGAATGGATTCTGTAATGAATTTTGCAAAATAGTTAAATTGAATTCCATGCTGCTGCCGGCTCCATGCACAACAGATGCCCTTGTTATTCCAACTCCATGCCCTTCCAGCTTTTCAGCCAACTCGTTTTCCATCTGCTGCTGCTGCTGCTGCTGTTGTTGTTGTCATTTGGCATCAAGTAAAAGTAAATAATTGCTGCTTAAAATGCTTGTCAGGAGACGATACCATGTTCGGGCACTCCCTCCTACCTTCTACCGTATTTTGTTTTCATGCTTGGCCCAGCACCGAGCCCTTTGGCCATTTCTTTGCTTTTTTAGTGGGCTGGGGGTGGCCTGAATTTTGAGTGGCAGCAGTACGAGTAGTCCATCCATTCTTTTTGGTACCCTGCATTCTTGTAGAAGGACAAGGGTAAGCACATTGATGTGGCCTTCCATCATCGCTGTTCCATGAAATTCCTACTCCAATTCTACCACTCCTAGAGATGCTGCCCAATCGCTGGGTATATCCATGTTGGATTGTCCCTTATAGGTGCCCTCTTTTGTCCTTTTTGCGGTTCTATTCGGTTGCAGACTCGTTACCGCCTTAACTGCAATATCGGTTACAGAACTCAGGGACCCAGAACTCTAGAGCTCTTCTCTATTTCAAAGTTGCTGCTGCTGCTGCTGCCTTTGGCTGTTTTCTTCACTCCTTCAGCCGGCACTCGTTTCCCCTCTCCCACTCCGTCTCTGGTACATTTAGCCTTTCGCTCCTCCTTCCCTTCTGCTGGTTATATTTCGACCAGATTGTCTGTATTTGCGGTTTGTGCGTACGTGACATGGATGCTCCTCTGCCGCCATAGATGGATGGATCGGCTCGCCAGCGTTTGGGAGTTCGGCAGGCGGACACGGGATGACTGCTTGCTTAACAATTAGTTTTAAAATGCCAGTTGCTGCTGCTGCTGCTCCTGCTGCAGGCCATATTCTGGTATCATTCAGAGATGCCTTGTAATCCGTACTTGCTTCTCGTACTCATTAGAGCGCTGCCATTCCTCTGGAAGGAGTCCAGGTCCAGGGACGGATGGCTACCAGATCTAAGGGGGGAAATAGAGTGAGTGAGAGGGAGGCAAAAATCAACAACAACAAACACAACAACAATCAATGTTGTCCCGTAATCAATTAACGATTTAACGTTCCGTTCGTCGTCTCTGGTCAATCTGTCTCTCTCCCTCTCCCTCTCCCCATCATCCTCTTTCTCTCTTTCTCTGTCTATCTCTGTGTGCCCTGTCAGCATTTGGCGCCACCTCCGCCATCAGAAGTTCTGTTTGTGTGTGTGTGTGTGTGTGTGTGTGCATGAACACGTCATTGGGGCAGCGTATTTTTTTGGGAAGGGGCAGGGTTGCAGTCATTTCCAGGGCTGGCTCTTCACTCATCGATTGCTCCATCATTTTATCAATCATTGCGAGTGTTGGTAAGCCTGTTTGGCTAAGGATAATCTCCAAATCGGCTCGATTTTTAATCGAATCTTTTGGCAACCCTGGCAGCCCTGTTTCTGGTGTACAAGTATTTTGTTGGGCGTGGGAGGGGGGCTAATGTGATTACTCCTGTCATTATTTCGTCGCCACAGCGCCACATCCAATGCCCCTCAATGCCCCCACAATGCTGCCATTAAATTGACCGCCGTCTCTCCCTCTCCCTCTCTCTCGCTCTCGTATGATGTGTGCGTGTGTGCGTGTCTGTGTGCATTTAACTGCACGTTTTCAAACTTTGACCCGCGCTTCATTCCGTTGGCCAGCCAAGGGTCGTATCCCTGCCCGGCTTTGGGGCTCTGTTGATTGGTTATTGACTTTTAACAGAAAAATTGATGTAATGCAATTAGTTTTACAGCTAAACCGTTTGCTGATTGTGCCAAATGGGCAAGCGGAACGGAACGTTGTGCTAAACGAGCTCTTTGTCGGCGTCCAACGAGGGGGAGCTGTTCGAGGCATGTGTGTTGGGGGCTGGGATACGATCTGAGGAAGGGGATCTGTTTGCATATCCAAGGGGGTTGATTCTGGATTCATTAAATGTGTATTTTGGGGCTTAATCAATAAGCACACCTTTGCTTTTGCCCCTACATCCAGTGTAAATGAAGCCCTTCCACAGATATCTCTGCTTATTTAGGCCCCTGCCTGGGGAGATCCCATATCTAATCGGGCCATCGAAAAGCCAATCGACAGCTACATAAATGCTGAAGCAACCTGCAAGGCATGTCCTGCCCGAAGGCTGGCCATCAATTACACGCATGTGCAACGAAATTGAACCATAACGGAGGAGCGGGTGGCAGCAGTATCGGAATACCTCGCCGCCGAATATGCGGCCAAATGAACTGAAACCGGAAGCCACCAAAGGGGGTGGCGCTGAACCGGGGGGTAGTGGAAATTTATTGCAGTTGTGCGAAACAAAGCGTACAATTTTTGCTGCTTAATTGAAAAATATAAATTGTTGCCACATGTACGAGTATGTCTGGTGTGTGTGTGTGTGTGTGTGTCTGTGTGTGTGGATCGGAAGTAAAGTCAAAAGCAGAACAAGAACATTAATAACACTGCCCCGAAAACGGAAATAATAAAAGCCATTTTAACGATGACGCCAAATATAAAATCAACAGAAATTGTAGTCGCACATAAAAATGGCTAAATATTGTGGCACCATTTGCGACTGCCAGTCATGACTGGCCGTTAAACGAGGCAATGGAGGCCAAGAGCAGTCGGTGATTGGCAAGGCTTTTCAGCCAGGGGTTTGGGTCCTTCAAAGGCTGGAAAGTAGTATTTTGAGAGTGTGTTCATGAAGAGCCGCTTGGTTATGCGATTCATATGCAGGCTACTTGTCGTAGCTCCCCCCTCTCCATTGGGCTCTGGAGAAAGTGAAAACCTTGAGGAATTCCACTCCCTGATCCTCTCATCATAGGCGCTGGTTATTCAGGCAGTAATTTAAAAGCGGAAAAACGACAATCAATGCGGGTCAATATTTGTCAACTGTAAACAGCAGAACAACATGGGGATGGTGGAGAGGAATACAGTCACTGCCAAAAGGCAATGGAAGACACAACACACACACACCCACAGGCACCCACAGAAAAAGTCAAGTGCAAACAGCAAAAGAGGGGAAAAAAAGGAATAGCAGGAAAAAATGCGACATGCAGGTGGCATAAATGGGAGAAAAAAAGACACACACACACACACACACAGACAGGGGCAGAGAGGGGAGAGGCGCACCTATACATGCACAATTATCACGGGGTGCTTTGATGATGAGCTTCCTGCACATCAAAAGCCAAAAATAGAGCAACTAAAAGGCAGGGAAAAGGCCAAGAGCCCGTCGGATGTTCGGCCAAGGCCAAAAAGGATTCGAAATGGCTAAAAACGTAAC